TCATAGTGATAGAAATTTAAATGACTTCTTTAGAAACTTTATATTTTTTCTGGCACCAAATTTTGCTTTCCAGTGAATTAAAATTTGATGAATTTCTTTACTTGATTAATACATCCAACCTTGTCACTGTAGATTCTCTACAGTGCAAATCTGTATTTAATTTACTTGCTCAGTAGTTGAAAATAACAATGGCACCGAGCACTTTGCTAAAATCGAAAAACATTGCATAGAAACCCTAAATTTGTAAATATTCTCTGTATCTAAAATCGATCTATAATACTGAGCTATGATGCAGCTTAAAGAAAAAGAATAAAGTTAAAATGACAGAAGGTCAAAAGAAATGAGACTTTGTAAAATACTAAGGACAAGGAGAAGAACTCTTAAAGCTAACTTTGGAACCACAAAAAGTTAAAAGGATATCTGTATGCTGCTTACAGAAGAGAGTACAATCTCAACAGAACTGTTCTACTGTGGTATTTTTTAAAATTTTCTATTAGCAGAAGGAAAAAGTTAATTGTAGTTTTTCATGTTCAATGTTAAATGTGGGATTAGAAATTCAAATCATTAATGGAATAAAAAAAATAAGGGAAATATGATACTGTACCAAAGGACATGTAGAGAAAAACACATAATTTTTTTGAATACAAATACAACATGAATAAAAAAATGGATGTTATATTACTATCTATTATTAAGACAGTAGCATGGATAAAAAGGAAGGTAATAGACTCCTTGTGAGACTTGCCAATCATATCTGGAGTATATCACTGTTCTGGAGACTCAATGTAGTACTGGGTGCATTTTGATAAGAGAATAAATAAAGGGGAAAAGTCTAGAATTTATCATGAGAATTTAAAAACAAAAAAAAATTGGTCTAGAAGAGGGATAACTTGGGAGAGGTGGCTGTGAGGAGCACATTAAATGCTTTCTCTGATGTGAATAGCTGGCATATAGAAAAGGTGTTAGGGCAGAACTAATGCATTAATATTTAAGGACAATAATTTTATTTTTTTCCTAATGTCTATATTGTGAAATAGTGAGACCTTAGGACTGGAAAGTGTTCTCATCAAAGACATTTGTTTATCTGTGTAGAAATTTCTCCATGGGATCTAAGAGGGTAGAACACAGAACCTCTTAAAATTCGGATTTTTTCCTTAAATATTTTTTTATTTATCAATGGATCTTTATTTTTATGTGGTGCTGAGAATCCAACCCAGTGTGTTACACATGCTAGGCAAACATTCTACCACTGAGCCATAACCCCATCCCCCCAAATTCAGATTTTTATCATTTCAGTCTTAGAATTAGGGTAGGGCTGTTAAAAGATGTCTAAGTAGAGGTGTAGTGTAAGCTATGCTAGAAATATTCTCTTGCTCCTCTCCAGTCCAAATAGAATCCTTTTTGAATACAATTCTTCCATTAGATATCTAGATCATTAGTTCTTGCATACTTTTTGAATATTTCAAGAGATGTATAAAATGGAAATGTCTTTAGAGGACGCAATAACATATATAAATTAGCTATTTCTTGTTGAGAAAAAGACATGAATAAAATACATAGTCAAAATAAATAAGGTCCCCATAGGCACAAATCTGTAGCTAGACAAAATGCACAAACTAGGGAAACAGTAATTCTTTAATATACTACAGAAGATCCTGAAGCTTTAACTATTGCTTCTATGAAGATATGGTCAAATTTTCCAAGATATCTATATTATTACAACATATAATTAGTACAATTTTTAAAATAAAAATTATTTATTAAAACAGAAAATTTCTGCATAGCAAGTATCTGTAGACATTTAACAAGATCATCAAATTTCAGAAGGTTTATAAAATATATCAGGTTTTTATATACAAAGTAATTCCATATAAGTAAATAAGCTAACTTTTGGGTGGATTCTACTCAATAAAACATTCTATGATATTAAGTATGTTTTCATTTAGTAATATTTGTTAATTAAAACCAATAGATTTTATTTAGATAACTACAGCTAGAGCTAAACAAGACTTTACTCTGAAACATCATCATTGAAAAAATCCCATGTATTTTGATTTGACAATTTTAACCTATTTCTGATTCCCTCAACTGATTACTTCTTGCTTTGCTACCCTCAGCAATAATCCTATTACCATTTTTTCCCATTTTTTACAGTGAAAACTTGTATTTCCTCTTCTACATCCCATGTCCAAATATTTATTGAATTCTTTCACTATCAGAGAAAGCTTCATATACCTTTTTCTATTCTATTGCTATTACTTTAGTTCATGCCCTAATCATCTTGAAAGTATACTGCAATTACATAATTAAGAGAATACTTCTAATCTCTCTCTCTTCATGAAAACTCTCTTACAAACTGGTTCATGAGAACTTTTTTTTAAAGCATGCATTCTTACAAGTAGTTCCCTAGTTCAAAAACCTTCAGCAACTCACAATAAAACCATAGAAAAAGGCTAAACTAATTAACAGAGCATAAACATCTTCTGAGATCTCAATCTATGTTTTCAGCTTTATCTGTTAGTACTTCTTTTTATAGTCATTATTATTCAAGCTACCACTGTACTATACATTATCTAAGGATATTTTATGTTTCCAATCACTGGAATGGCCTTCCTCAGTTTTTTCCTAATATATTATTGCCCATTTCTCAAGGTCTAGGCTTAAAGGTCTTTTATTCAATATGTTTTCCCTCTTTCTATTCTTCCTTATCCTTATCCTCTGTTCTCTCATGGGACAACTTGCTCCCTTACCATTTACTGCATTAGCCTTACATCAGAGTTTAGTTTTACATATTTCTTCTACTTAGAATCAAAGACTGGGAATGGGGTTGTGACTCAACAGTAGAGTGCTCGCCTTGCCCATGTGAGACTCTAGGTTTGATCCTCAGCACTACATAAAAATAAATAAGTGAAATAAAGGTATTGTGTCCAAAAACATTTAAAAAAAGAATAATCAAGGAGATTGCAAGAAGATGACAACAAAGACTGCAGTAGATAGCAAATAATCTGTTAATGCATTCTGATTTGATTACCTTACTATATAATATATAAAGTAGGTATACAGGTATAGGAGGATTTGGTCTAGGGGTTACTTATAGTCTCAAAATCAGAAAAGTCTTGTACCAGTTGCTGTACTTTCCATATTTGTTTGCATCTCTTCATGGAGATGATGATAACATTTTCTTCTTAGAATAGCCCAGCAGTTTTTTAGTGTGGGTAACCTCATCACATTGATTTCTTTGAATACACAGGAGACAGATAACTGAATATTCTGTGTTAAATGGAACAAATTTACTCAATCAGTGAGGGCTACCGCCTTCTCTCCTAAATGCTTTCATGTCGTGGGGGCCAGTGATTGACTAGGTGAGGAGAGAGTGGGGAACAATCTCTCTGTACCCTAAATGTCTCTGGGTGGCATGGGGTAGCAGCAGATGCTACAAGCTACTCACTGCACAGCACTGGCCCTTTCCTTCTTTCTGGCAGGGCAACATTCTGCCTGGGTGTCCTCTCTACCAATGGGTTCACTTGGTGAAGTTCAGAGATAATTCTTGATTAAGTCACTCATGGGGTAACATTCTCATTCCCAGAGATTTTTGCAGAATATAAAACTCAATACTGGTCAGGGAATTGTGAAATGAAATTTTCTAGAGAAGTGACTTCATTCTTGAAAAGATACACAAAGCAAAAACCATGTTTTCTAGAGTCTGAAGGTAGTATACTTAATCCCTGGCTCTTATCTTACAACAGAGTGCCATCTTTTGAACACTACTGACTCTCTGAGGGCTGGAAGGCAGAAAGAATGAACCAGGTATTCTGATAGTATCACAGTGGTGGGGTCACTCTACTTTAGAACTTTCACTGTGAGAGAAATATATTTCCTGTTTTGTTTAAACCAGTTGAACAGAGGGTTTCTCTTAGTGTCCCTGGAGAACCATACAGGATTTCATGTCTGTGTCAGGCATCTTGTGCAGGTGGCAGATGCTAATCCTCATTAGGACTTTAGGGCTAAGCAAATTATTTTTTGTGCTGATTTGTTGCTAAAATCTAAATTTCTAACTGTGGATCTAAGTAACTGTCAATATATCTTTAAAATGCACTGTACTTTGCCTTTGCAACAATATCAAATTTTGAAGTTACGGATGGGTATTGTATTCACTATTTAAATGTTCTATGAGGGCAGTTTATCTGCCAGGAACATTCCTATACTTATGGTATCTAGCACAGGGCTGGCACATGGGTGTTCAGTATAAAGATTCTCAGTAATGTTTATGAAGTGCATAGAAGAATGAGTAAATTAATATAGAAAGAATATAAAAAACATTCTGCTTTATCTGTTCCTGATACTTCCATTGTCCTGCTTCCTTACCAATTCTAGACAGAAAAAGAGAAAGAAATATATCTCTATAGCTGCTGTCTGCTCTTTCCAACTTGGTGGAGAAACAAAATGGAGATGATTCTTAGAACCAATGTATAAATATTTTCATAAAGGAAAAACTCCTTTATGAAAGGAGTACATGCCTATAATCCCAGAGGCTTGGGAGGCTGAGGCAGGAGGATTGAGAGTTCAAAGCCAGCCTCAGTAAAAGTGAGACGCTAAGGAACTGATTGAGACCCTATCTCTACATAAAAATAAGAAATAGGACTGGGGATGTGGCTTAATGGTCAAGTGCCCCTGAGTTCAATCCTTGGTACCATGCACCCACACAGAAAAAAGAAAAACTCCAATTAATTGTTTTTTATATTGCTTATTAGAACAAAAAATACTTTAAAATTATTCAGAACCAAATGTTTTTAAAGGCTGAAGGAAGGTCAGGAATAATTTAGTGTAACTCAGCTATGCAAAGATTTATCAAATAACTCTCTCAAGTGCTCCTTTTGCCCTTGAGGAAACTGAAAGTTACTGTGATCAGTATTAATCTTCTTATATGCTGAATAAAACAAAACAAAACCAAAAAAACTAAATCCAAATGACCATATTCACCAGTAAAAAAAAAAGGATATTTTCCTGGTAATGCTGTTCCAACTCGGTAATCAGTGTAGCTCTTGTTTGGGTGGAAGTTGAAAATAAAAAGAAGACCTGCTCTCTCAAAAGCTATAATCTTGTTTCCCTCATGCTTTTCACTCACAAAGGCCTGCAAGAATTAACACGTTACATTTAAAAGACACCTAGATGTTGCCACTATTATTTATAAAAATTTCTTTCTTTCCTAATAATCTTATCAATTATTAAGTCAAAGACGAAAATTCTAGAACTGTATATTTTTTGAACGTTTAAAATATTCACCAGCTACTTGGCAACTCCTAGCAAAAAAACAAAAGAGGATTAGGATTACAGCTTAGGTTTTAAGTAGAAACATGCCACATGAACTCCATTTAAAGTATTTATAAGTGCATTTGAAGACTTTTGTGTTAGTTCCCAGATTAATGTGGTAAGGTACATAAAATCGCTTTTCAAAATTTATTACTATAACATTATCTATTTATTATTATCTATTATCTATTTATTATTATAAAATTATCCACACTATCTATTATAGTTATCTCCCAAATTTTACATTTTTACACAACTTTGACAGATTCAGTGGCAACCTGTAGTACAATGCTTTGTATTTTTGTTAATCAAAAGGTCTGAAAGTAAATTAAATCTGTAAACTCCCTTATTTTATGCATCATGTATTTATAGTTGGCAGCAAGAGCTTTTGCTTTTTGAACACTACCTTCTGCCCAACTTCAGCTTTGAGAGGACTTTATTGCCATGCGTATCAGCAGTATCACTGTTGGTAATTTAGAATGTGAACTAAGGCTCTAGAGTAAAGAATGTGCCTTTTGGTATTCAACATTGTTCCTACTGAAAAGGAGCATCATTTTGCTCTCTCTTCTGGAAACAGCATCTCTAATAAATGTGATAAGGGCATTTGTGTCATGTAGCCAATCTTACTGAATATATAAGTGCCTTTGTTCAGCCATTAACAAAAAGAATCATGGACACCAAAGTAAAAACACATCAACAGTAATTTCAAACAGCACTAATATAAAGTAAGTGGATTATAACTAACACATACTATATGCTAATTTTTGCAAGGAAAAAAAGCATGTATAAAATTTGCACCTGTTAATTACATTTTCTAAATCTTATTGAAAACTGAGACTTTAATTCCAGAGGAGAGTGAGGCTCATGAAAAATACAAAACAGCACACAGGTATAATGGCATCTATTGAAATGACAAGTTAGAGACCAGCAAAGAGGAGGAAAAAAAGAATAAAGAAATCTACATGTTTTCAAAGTAGTTTCTTTATGACAGCATAATTATTTATATAAAGAAAAACAGTCAAAACAATTAAGATGTTTCCACAGCAATTTTCAAAGTGGGTTCCATGCAGAGCTTTTGTCATCTATTTTAACCAACTGAAATAAAAATTACTAAATTTAAACAACCACCACCACCTAACCAGGAAAGTAAGCAGGACATTATGTTTAAGATTTTCATTATCTATTGGAGAGAGATTTCAGTGACATGTTTTGACAACCTGAAGTATGTCACAGGGCACTACACACTGAATAACAAAGTGCTGTTTAGAAGATCTGCATATAGATTTAAATTGATTGCCATTCTAAGCATGTATAGCAATGGTGACTAAAACATCACATTTAGAGTAGAGCACTTACCTGTGGAGCTGAAAGCCAACCACATCTTTCTTCCAATCTATTCATATCCCTGTCAAAGTTATTTAGGAATTTATAGCGAAGAAGGTCATCATCGGTTAAATGAAACTGCCTTCTGGCATAATGGTAACTCTCATTATTTCCTTTCCTTGGGAAATCTAACCATTCAGGATGCCCAAATTCATTACCTGTATATGAAAAAAATATAAATATAACTTACTAATATTAGCATTTCTTACTAAGATAACTACATAATTACATGTAGACAGTTTAGGTTATACGTGACTATCATTGAACCCAGTAAATGATGTACCGGTCTGAGTAAAAAATAGCATGATCTAGAGCAAAAAATACTACATTTGTACTCTAAAGCCTAGGTCCAGCTTTAGCTTCGACACTCATTACTGTCAGTACATTTCAGTTTCCTCATGCACAAACGAAAGCAACTATATCCACTACACTTATTTCATCTCTGAAATAATCTAGGGGATCCCAGAGGAATTTGTGAAATCTCTATTATCTGTAATCTCAGAAATCTGTACAATGCTTTACAATTTTCAAAGGCTTTATATTTACATTATATTTTGATCCTCAAAGGATCTATTATATTCATTTCTAGATGAGAAATCCTAAGCTCTGGGCAGTTGAGAGATTTGCCTAACCTCACACAGAAAATACAAAGTGGAAAAGAGTCATTAAAATTTACTTTTTCTAATTAAAATCAGTAGATGTTTCTTTCTTTTTCTCATCATCCTCCTTTTGCAGTCCTAGGAACTGAATGCAGAACCTCATGCAAGCACTCTCCCACTAAACTATATCCTCAGCTATATTTTGGATTTTATTTTGAAACAGGGTCTTGCTAAGTTGCCCACACTGATCTCAAACTTGGATCCTCCTGCCTCAGCCTCCAGAGTAGCTGAAATTACAAGAATATACCACAACACTCAGCTAACATACACAGATTTTTTTTTAACCATAACACATTAGGCAAGTTTATTGTAAATTTGGGGTTCAACAGAAATCTAAGACATTACTTGATTATTTTTCTTTTTTTTTCCAGAGAAAAAATTTGTTATAATTAGATGTAAATCGTTAGTTTCAAATGTGCTTGTGTGTGTGCGTGTCTATGTAGCTTGGGAAATTCTGTTGGGAATCCATTTTGTATTATTTCTCATTATGTAATAAGAAGTATAAATTCAATAAATTTTAAAATAATAAGATGCACATAGGTGCATAGTATGACAAAGGAAAAGAACCAAATTTCTCACTCTGTGAGTCTATATTTACTTTCAGCTACTTTAAATCAACCCAAGGAATGTCCCTCTGCCACATTTAAGAATCTTGCCTGGGTCTGGAGCCTGATTCACATCAGTCCAAGGTATACCCCACAGCATAGCTTGCTCCATCAACACCTCAACTGGCAAAATAATGTAATTCATAATTATAGCCAGAGAGCCTTCTTTACTGATAATGAAGGGACTTTCAATCTAAGTACAAGGATATATCCAAGTACTTATCTGGTGTGAGTGAGACTTCGACTAAAGGAAAAAGAAGAGACTTCTATCTCATGAGGCAGCTAAAGCATATTAGCCTACTGTTATGGTTTGGATATGAGGTACCCACCAAAAACTCTTGTGTCAAAAGTTAGGAGGTAAAATGACTACACTGTGAAAGCTATAGCTTAATTACTCCATCTTATTCTGAATGAACTTCCTGGGTGGTAACTGTAGGAAGGTTCAGCCCAAAGGAAAGAGTCCCTAAGGACATGCCATGTAAGTGTTCGTCTTCCCTATGTTCTCTTCCCCACTGTTCTGACTTTGCTTCTGACTGCCATGATGGGAAAAGCTTCCCTCAACAATGTCCTTACCCAATTGAGGGGCTGGGCCATATCATCTTTGGCCCAACACCACAGGGTCTGCTATCCAGGGACTGAGACTTCTGAAATTGTGAGCCCCCAAATTAACTTTCCTTCCTCTGTGGTGTTCTTATTAGGTATTTGGATACAGTGATACAACTACAGAGACTAACATACCAACAAATAGATTCAGGCTTTCTATAGGCAAAAATACATTCAATTTAGCATGGCCATGGATTTCTGGGTTGATTCCAATATTAATAAGCAATAGACTTTTTCCTGATGAGAGCGTCATATCATATCCTCATGTTCACAAAATAAACAGCAACAGATGTCTGATGTCAGCCTATTAGGTTGCAAGCACTATTTGTAAGCATTGTACATAATTAATTCTTTCCATCTTCAACAACTCTGTGAGGTAGGTACTATTATTGCCCCAATCTGAGATATAGAAAGGTGACACAGTGATTAAGTAGTTGGGCCTATGAATCCAACCAGTCTGCTTTTTAACAGCCTAATATCATATTACTCAGAAGTAAATGCTGTGGAAATAAAGAACCAAAAACCAACAACCTTTCATATATGGGGGAGAATTCCAAGCTAATGGAATGACATTGCACTAATGGATTAGAGTCAGAGATGAGATGCAGTGAAGAGTTTGAATTAACCCCCCCCCAAATAGGGTCTGTGATAAAAAGAGGCAATACATTCAGGATGAGATGAGATTAGAATGAGTGTTACAAACTATGGATCTCATATTGTAGGGAACAGGGAACCAAAACTATTGGCAAGTGGAGGACTGAGAAGTTTAGCGTGTTTATTATTAAAATGCCTGCTGCAGTTTGGAAAAAGAGACTGGATATTGGAAAAATTTGAATGGTAGAAAAACTAGAATGGAATCTAAAGTATAAGACAACAGAGGATGAGGAAAAATGAAATTGAAGAAAAAATATCAATTCAAATAGCATTTCTGAGATGGAAAGAATAAGACTTAATGACTAACTGAGTGAAGGTTATAAGGAAAAGAAATATCTGAATGCTATTTTAAAGTTTCAAGTTCAGGAGACTGGGTAATGACAGCTCTAACTGCATTAGAAGAAAATGGTGACAGATAGTTTGGGGTAAGAAGATGATGATAAGTTCAATTTTAGGCATGCTAAATTTAAGACTTGAAGGATTTGCAGGCATTCATGGATTTAGAGTGAGAGAGATAAAAATATGATACTGAAATTCAGGAAGAGAAATACAGGTGGAAATAAAAATAATTTGTAAAACCTCAAGAAGCAAACATAATTGCAGCCAGTAGAGTTAGAGGAGCCACAGGCAGCATCTTAAGAACCTGCAGGCAGAGAAGAACTGTGAGGGGGGATTGAAGAGCAACTGTTAGCAAGGTAAGATAAGAAAAGCATTAGAAGTAGTGTAAACTGCTGAAAAAAAAAAATAGAAAAGGAAAACATAACAACTTGCTCTTATCATACTTTTGGAGTAGGAATAAGATGCTATAGAGATGTGCTTTCCAATTTATATTATGCTCCAGAATAAGCAAGGAGTCATATTAAAAATTTTCATTCCTGGTCATGCTAATTCATTAAATCTGGGGAAAGTCTCAAGCAGAACTCTACACTTTTATCAATTTCCCTATAATATTTGGAAAGTATGTAGGCTAAAAAACTTACCCTGAAAAATACAAGTACATAAATATGAAAGTCCTTTATACAATAATTATGCTATAAAATTTAATTATAAGTGACATGAATTTAGATAATGTAATATCTCAAGAGTTTAGTTTCTTCATCTGTAAAACAGGATAACATGTTTTATAAAGCTTTTTCTCAAATTCAAAGAAGACAATGTGAGGTGCTTTGCATAGATCTGGCAGCTGCATGCTTTCAATGTGTGGCAGCTCTTATGTTACACACTTCTGATGACTAAAGTTACTAGAAAAAAGGCACAAAACATGAGTTACATTAGGGCTAAAATTTCTGATTCTTCTGAGCAGAGAACTAGCCATTCCTACTCTGCAGTAGATATCAAGTCACCAGTAGCAATTAAAATGACAGCAATTTGGCTATTTTTCATTTGTTATATAATATTTTTCACTTGTTATATAATAAATATACTTATAGACATACTATTTTTTTAAAGTACAATTAAAAACATACACCACAGTCTGAAATCCTACCAAATAGTCACTGTTTCTCTTTTGGTAAATGTCTTATTTATTGCCATTTATATCTATATTTATACATATCTAACTATATCAATATCTACATACTTCTATTTACTATCTGCCTACAACTTGTTTTTGAACAAAAGTAGATTTATATTATACAGTGTTTTTAATTTTAATATCAGAATGTTCCATGTCCATAAATATGCATCTCCATGATGGTATTATATTATTTGCACACAATACTATTTTATTTGACATATCACATTAAGTTAGTCATTTTTTCTAGTGTTTTAGTCTAACAAAAAATAACCAATCTTACAAGTTTACATTTCTACACTGTTTATTATTTCCCTAACAAACAAAATAAGTAAAATATCTCCTCAAAAGATAAATAGCAGATATGATTATAACAGAAAACATTTCCCATGTTTTGAACATTATTAATTATTTAAAGACATAGGGCAAATTGACCAATTGCTCCTGAAAACAGTATTTACAAATTATATTCCTTAATTTATATGTCTAAGTTTCTACTCTGATTTTATTTTTCATTATTTAAATTGAAGACTTCATTTTAGGTTCCTCTGAGATATATCAATTTTAAATATCAATTTAACTTTTCAATTCTGTATCAAAAAGTATTAAATACTAAGAATAAAAATCATTTTATAAGGCCATGCACATGCAAAATATTAGAAAAAGATAAAATTAGGAAAACCCACTTAAATTTTTATATGTATTTTAACTTTCCTTCACTTATCCTGTTCGAATATAAATTCACTTCCTTATATAAATATCTTAATGAGTACATATTATGTAATACGAAATTAAATTTGTAAGTAAGGAAAATAGAACTTATTTTGTAACTTGTTCATGATGTGGTGAAACTTTTTATTAGGAAAAATTATTAATTTCCATTAGTCTCATTTAAAATTTCTAAGAATCTAACTGGCAAGAACTCTTTTTAAACTTAAAGATATAGAAAGTCATATATAACAAGAAAAGATAGAAAAATTATATCATTGATGGCAAACAAAACATTCTACAGGGTGGTTTTTGAATGTTATTTCTGTTGTAAATGAGCTGACAAGAGGCAAATTAAGTTTAATGTAGACAAACGCAACATTAAATTTCATTTTTGGTTCAAAAACCGTAAACAC